TTCCCCCCAAAAATAGTGTGCTATTCTATAAAAAAATGATTTCTGCTACACCAAGTGTGCGGGAATGAACGTTTTTTACTGTAGTTTTGCGTACTTGTACATGAGCATATGTACCCTTGTATTTCAAAAATTTGCTACTTTTCGCACATGTTTATGGTGATCACATGTATGTGTGGTTTTGTATACTTACTTGAGTATTATAGTTCTGTTGGGCATGATTCATGTGAGAGCCATGTCATGACACCTATCAATCATGAAATTTAATTTTTTAAATATACTTTAGGTGTGGCTGTCAATATACTGGTGCAGTCAGCTGTAGGTTAGGTTAGGTGACGACAGATAGTAGTTGGTAAGGTAAAATAATAGCACTCTATATGTAATAGTGTGCAATCAGCGAACCAGAGAATATCTTGCCGTAGACGTGCATGTATATTGCACATGTTGGAGGAAGTAGTTACGAGTACCTATTGCCAATATACGGGCAAACACCCCATCCTTATTTTTACATGTGCCAGAAACTCAGAAATGCCGATGTGAGTTTATTTATTTTCGGTGCCGAACCATGTATAACATGCACATATACCTTTACACACACGAGTATGCAAGGAAGCACACACATACACACGTCAGTCAACAACTACTGTTAGTGGTCATTCATTCGAGATAATACCTGGTATAGTGGAAGGTTTCATACACGGATTCAGAACGTTCTGGAAGTTTGCATATTCAATTTGCTTCCTTGTACGGCAGCTCTTATGGAGTCAACTCTCTGTGATATGTCATAGAAGGGACCAGATTTATTCATATTTCCCTACAGGTTAGCTGCATCTGCGTATCTAGAAATATATACCTGTGAAACTGTTTGAATGCTATATACAAAGGCTCCCCATTTGGTATGGCCACTCGCTTGCTTGAGTGCCGTGAAGAATTCGTGTGCCATATATCTCAGTGTAAAGTAGTGACATGTAGTTAGTTGCTGTGGTAGGTATTCCTGCAAGGCAACGCTAACCGGTCATTCAACTATTTAACTATGCAAACGTGTTTAATTGTTTATACTATTTATACTAATATATTGATTTCAAGTTGTTGCCAAATGGATACCAAAGCAAGGGTAAGTTATATTCATGGTGTAGTTCAGTATTAGAAGGTTATATAATGCAACCTTTACAGCTAGTTAAACCAAAGATCTGTGTGTGTTTAATGTAGATTTAGTATAACTGTTCAAAGAAGGCTTGCATGCAACATGAACCTTCTCATCTGTATATCCAAACTTGGTGAGAGAAAAACACTATACTATGTAGTGAATGCAAGACTTTAAACGTCAAAATTGAAACAAGTCAAAATATTTGTGGCAGTGAATTAAACGTATTTATTTGATTACGTGGTGAATTACCAGTATCAATTCATAACACAGCAGTAATAGTCTCACTGAATTTGGATTTAGAGATGTTGCATATAGCATATGCAATTGACTTTGGTAGCTTTTATTTTAGGGTAGTTTTCTGAATCTACCAAAGAATGGGCCAGGCAAATGTGCAATATAATTACCTATAATGGTCTGATTGTGTACCAACGTGGATGATTTGTGTGGTTATCTAGTAAGCAGGACTTCGTGTTTGTGAAGATGAGCAAATCTAGTCAGTTTTGCATGAGATTGGGTGATGATTCCTGTATTTATATTGTGGCTATATAATATTTATTCCCATGCATCTATATCTTTCCTAGGTGTCTATCCGCACGTTGTATGTTTTCTTTCCAAGCAGCTACACGTTTTGACTCGAGTACATTAAATTACATTTATTTTCATTCGTCAAAGTACAATTACCAAGTTTTCAGGGCAGTTACTAATGAAACCTAAGTCTTAGGATCTACTTTAAAAACTTTTTGAGAACACTTCATTACATTCATAGAATATAGAACGAGCATGTGTGTTTGTATGCTTGTACAGATCAGTATACATGGTCCATGTAATGTGTGACCATAGTCTACTAAGTTTTCGTATTTATTATAGTCTTTGCGTATCAGTATTAACTATAGATGTGCTTCCTCTTCCAAAAAATTTGTTAGATTTTCTAAAGTTGAAGGAGCAGGGGATTGTGACATTCAGCATCAATAGATTATGGTTAGGTTTATTAGAAATACTATCCCTATACTTAACTTTAATCTATCTAATTTATCTCTTTAATTTGTGTATCTTGTCTAATTTATTCATAGAATTTGTTTATTTATTATACTCGGCTTCGTATCAGTCATAGTATTTATGATAGTAATAAGTATATGTTATCTTTAGAATTATAGAATGTTTTTAAAAATGTATAATAACCATTGTATGTAAATATGATTGCTATTTCGTTATCGAAACAGTAAACCATATATGGTGGTGGGTGAGGAAATTCTAGTCATTTTCCAACTACACTTGTGGATACATATAATATATTTTGAACTATTTATTGTATTTAACTATAGCTAGTTTAGACGCATGCAGCACAATCATTTATTTTGAAATATATATTATTAGTAGTAGCATGGATATATGTATTCCAATATTAGTATAATAGCTATAATTTCTTATACATATATTCATGGTACGAGTAGGAACATACACACACAAACATTCGCTATGGTAATTAGGCCTAATTAAATCCAAATGATTACTTGTAGAAAACCTCAAGGCTCAGTGATGAGGGAATATTTAGTAATCTATTTTATGATATCCACCTAATTTATACAATTCCTACAATAGTTATTTGGTCTAATATCAACATAGTTTGCAATCTGTGTTATATGCTGAAACAGTAATTCATGTTATTTTGGAAAACTTCTTAGAAAACACCAACTAAATATTGACAACAAATGCATTTTAGTTTCATACAAACTCAGTGTGTGTGCAGGTGTGCATGTGGGTGGGCGGGTGTGTAAACACGTAGTGCGTAGTATTTATTATATAACATGTATCATTATGTCTATTTGTACACGATACGAATAGCAAGAAAGCTGGAAGTGCAATCAAATCAAAACGTAGAATAGTGTTTAGTATAGTGTGATGTGACGTGAAGTGATGTGTTGTGATGTCATGTTGGCTATAATGTTTGTCTATTGTCTATAACTATATGCAGATGGTATGCCTTAACTGGGATACTGCATAGCTGAACACTTTACTGCTTGAAATTTTCAATCTAAAAACATAGTCTGGCATGCAGGCTTCTTTGTCATCACTATACATATGACAAGTGGCTGGTTAACCAGTTCTCAGTATGCAGTTTGGCTGATAGCAGAGAGACAGTATGCAGTAATCACACATTGTCATAGCATTGCATATTCCCATATAACCATTGTTAGTTAGTTGACCTGGGAAGTCTTTCACGTTTTCTGACTAAATGTATTCTTGTGTCGAGGCACATGCTGACGTGTTCCGACACATGCAGCAGGAGGCATAAATCTCAAATCGTAGCTTAGTATGTTTTGATGTTTGTATTTAATTAGATGGGACCTGTGAACATCTTGGAAGGGCTTAAAAATTAAATGTTACCTGGTATTTGTTCCACGATTTACACTTGAAAGCAGATACACTATATATAATTGAAAGCAGTAAAAAACAAACAGGAAGCCTTCCACTATCACAGGTATAAAAAGTAATATGCATGTTGGGTGAATGTTTTTAAGTTGTGCTACATCGAACATCGAACCCTATTATTAGCAAATAATAAGTGTGGTCCAGCTTGTACAAGAACACACACATATAATTCATTATATCATTCATCTTCAAATATTTACATAAAATCACATTGGACATTTCTATGAATATATTCGGATTTATATTTTAGGATTCTGGCACACAAAAATGAGGATTGGGTGTATGGTACGTGTTCCTATTCATTTGGTGTAGCGCAAACCTGTGTGATATGTTTTGCATTCCTACATTATTATTGTCATGACACATTTGGTCAGCTGTTGCACTTCGTTAATTTGTAATTATGCGAGAATGTGCAGTTGATCTGGATACTCATGAATTGTACTAAAGTTCAATGGCCTTTTCTGGTAAAAAAAAATTGTGCAATGATATACACTATCCCAGGCTGAGCTGTCAGCTGGCATCAATGAATCCAGCACATATGTAGAATTGCAGATTATGTCTTGTGATGCAAATAGCTTAATTCTAGGTTTTATTTATTATTGATGGCAAAAACATGAAGTACAGGGTATGCAACAGTGTGATTGCATGCCCATATTGAGAGTATTTCTAGGGTGTAATATTTATATACTCTGTATAATTAGGGCTTAGCGATAATGCAATAAATAATCTGTTGGTAGGATATTCTTTACGCATTATCACATACTTAGCACTCATGTAGATGATGTAGTACTTAAAAATTTGTTTAGGAAATTTGTACACATTAGTATGTCACCATAAAACTTTACAGCCATAATGTGCTAGTATTTATTTAGTGGTTCAAGTTCACATTTAACAGGCTTCAAGATTCATATATACTTGAGATGACCTGTATCATACAGGTAGCATCTCATATTCACTAGTGTGCAGTGAAGCAGAGGCGAATGTAATTCCAATCGTATTGACTGTCATGTTTTGAAATAGCGAGTAGATGATAGATGATCATGATCGGTTTGTAACCGTACAGCTCAGTGACATTGAGCTTTTAGCAGCAGGGCAGTATAAAACCGACACGATACAGTACATCTACTGCTAGGTTAATCATTGTGAGTGGCCCAAAAAGATGACTTATGCAGGTACATAGGAATTCGTTTCTCCCCATTAGCAAAATGGCCACGGTTAACCTTATGTTGTCCAATTTTCATAATTTGTTTTGTTTTTCCATGATATCCCAAAGCCATGATTTGATTGTTTAAGAGATTTTTGTTTTTACCAAATTTTTTCATATTACAAATTATATGTATTTTTAGCATCGAGTATTCGCGTACCAAACAAACAATCAATTAGTGTTTTTGTGATGACATGCTTTTTTCAAGGAAGGTAAAATCTATTTATGTGCTTCCTTATTGTTTATTTAGTAAGAAATAAAATTGCAAACAACTTATATGTTTAACAATGTGTTCTGTCACTTCACTTGTGCTTATACTCTGAATAGGTACAACCACATCAGAATGGTCTGGGCTATTTCTAATCATAAATTATCTGGAATAATTATGATAATTTAAACAGAATTGTTATAGTTAGCATATTCATTGGATGACTGTCTCTAAATTTTTAGTTACACTATAAACAGGTGAGAAATTATATACAAACACATACATAAATGATGAACCTATTCTCTATAATGATAGGAAACCTTGGTTATATTGAAATATATGACAATACGGAATGATATTATACAAACTTACAGATCAGCAAGTCACTTATAATCCAGGAGGGTACCTTTAGGTCTGCTTTTCTTCACTTCTTCCTTGACTGGTGCCTGAAAATGCAAATTGCCAAAATATTAATTCCAGTAGGCATTAATTGTCAAATTATACATGGTGAATTTCAGAATGCATTTATTTAGGAAAATATCAGAGTGTAACGAATAAGGCTAATTATGGGTACTATAAATGGTTTTCTAATAAGTTTGGGCTTACAATACCAAGGCAGTAGCTAGGAATTAATGTATGGGGGAGCAAGATGAACAGGCGCCGGAGCTGCTCGCTTCTAGGGGGGTCTGGGGGCATGCCCGTCCCAGGAAATTTTGAAATATAGAAGCTCTGAAATGCCATTTCCAGCCATTTCAGGTAGGTTACATACCTAAAACTCCCCAAACGGTTAAGCGAGTATTTTCTAATCTTAAGTTCCCATTATTCTTCACTGGGTTCTTTTTTGGGGGGGCGGTGCAGCTGCCCCCTGCCCCCCCCCCCCTGCTAGCTACGGCCCTGAATACATAGACCATTACAATATTATACATCTATAACACAATCCAATTAGGTTCGATTAGACAATACACATAATTCAATTATTTCAATTAATTCAATATATTGAATCATTCTCCATATGACATACAGAGGTGATCATTACCAAACCCAAACCATTGATGATTTATCTGGTGGGGTTTCAAAAGTATATCTGACCTACCTGTTCCATTGCTTTCCGCTTTACAAGCCCCTTCCTCTCCATCTGCTTTTCAATAACTCGTGCATTCGCCGCATATGAATCTGCCACTTCTCTCTGACAAAAAAAAATTCAAAATGATTCATGCTTTTATGTTACGCATGAATCGCTTACTGAAATTTGAATAGTAATTTAACTGGTTAATATTTTAATTCTATTGCAACATGGTAATAAGAAGCCATGAGATAGTTAGCACTGCCACATATGGTGAGTAATGAGAAGCGGTATGATTTTACTACTTACAGCTTCAATCTCCTCTTCTTCTGCTTCCACAGTAGATACAGTGACAGAGCTAAACTTTCCCATGTTCTTTGTGTGTTTGGTCATCATCACCTAGATCAAACACAATAAATTATTATTTATAACAAACGCACGCACGCACACCACACACACATGCACGCACGCACACCACGCACACCACGGACGCACGCACGCACGCACGCACACACGCAATGATGCATACGATGACAATTTGATGATCAACATGGCCACAGCCACATGATCTCAGCATGGTCATAAGTCATAACCGTACGTGATATAATCATGGCAACAGACATAAATCACCACGGTCACATTAATGCAAAGAAAATTAAGAAAAATCTTTTAATCGATGAGAATGAAAAAATACTTTTTTCGGGGGTGGCTGAACAGCTTTATCAGTTTTGATTCCGCCCTCGGGTGCTTTCACGAGAGATCCTTGGACAACAAATGTAACACTGCTGCCTTTCTGGTGCTGGTAGTATAGCAATAATCCACAGCTGCAGAAACAAAGGGTCACTTTGAAAATTGTGAGGTTAACTAAACACTTATAGCCAGTTCAAAATTCAATGCTGCACTGAAAGACAATGATTGCAGGCAGATGGCACCGAGTTACAGGGCGGGCAACACGAGGAGCCCACTTTACATCTATTGTAATCACCTTCAAAGGAGACACAAGAAATACATATTTTTGTCAACATTTGGTGAGTTAACATAAAGCATCAACAGCCATTAAAAAATCACCTAGCAGTAAATATTTTAGACAAAAATGTTTTTACCTACATAAATGCTCTAAACTTTTTATCACTGTAATGGGAAACGCATCTATATTTTGTTTGGCCTTAATGACCTACCTGTTGCACTTTTTCCTTAGCTGTTTTTCAATACCTTCAGGCCTAAAATAAAATGTAACTTTCAAATGGGGTATTATTGTAAACTATGCTGAAGCTATAGATAATGTGATTTAATACCTGCCATGATATGAAGAATCCATTTAAATGGTCACAGATTGAATTGAATCAAGAAATTATTAGTGTCTGGGACAGTTACCTAGTAATTCAGGAAATAATCTTTAAAGAAAATTTATTTATATTTGTGTTATATAATCACAGAATTACTTACTTAGAACTTAAAAAAAATCATAAAAATTATGCAATAAAGATAGCAGCCACACACCACCAGTTTCTATGTGTCATACATACCACCTCAGGTAAACTGTCTCATCCTGATCACATGTGAGTTTATGAGCATGCTTACTGCCATCTATCACTCGAGCATTGTCTCTTCTTCGCATTGGCAACTTATCTATTGAACAGTCTGAAAAAACATTAGGTACATGATAATTAAACCAAATCCTAGTGGAGTAACAATTAATAAACGCTTTCTATTTTTACATGTAATCATAGGATATTTTGTAAAATTACAAGCCCCTATCTTACGATGTAATTTTGAAAATATATCTGTGTATGATAATAAGAGTTCATAAAATAGTGCTGACTGTACATTCCTGAAGACTGCTCATTCATATGCATGCACAAAATCTGTATCAAACATGAATATATACATTATCAGGGGTTAATAATGAAAAATTTGGTGTTTATTCTGTAACATTTTGTCATTACTATCCCCTGACATTATGTATACTACAGTAAATTTTCTATGTGCATAAGTTCCACTGTCTGATCTGTGTGCACAAGTTATTTTATTTTCTTACCAAGAATAAGAGCCATTGATCCACACAAACAATAGTAAACATGCAATGGTTTTTCACCATATTCTTCAGTATCTTTAGAGTCTTGAACAACAATGCTTCTTGAAATCACTTTAGGCATGGTTATTTTTATAGCTCTTCCAAAATTACGTGCTGGTTTCCTCTAATTGGTAGAGTAGATATTGCTGGCTCTGTGGAAAGAAATTAATTTAATGATGATATAGTTAGTTAAGGATAATGGGTTAAGGAGAGATCACCATAACAGGAAAGATCAGTGCCAGTGGTTCAGCGCAAGCAACTGCAGCTGAGAGGGTCTATGTCCCTCAGGGTACTGCCAGAACGTACCCTGGGTACGGTCCGGTACACCGGAATGTACTCTGGTACTATCTAATATGCCGGACCGTACCTCGCCTACTCCACTAACGAGTCTAGGGAGTCGCCTACGCCTACTCCCTAACCCTAACCATATCAGATAGTTACCAGGGTATGTTCCCGTATACCGGACCGTACCCAGGGTACGTTCCAGCAGTACCCTGGGGGACATAGACCCTATGGCTATGAGCGCAACTGCAGCCTCACTATGTTGGTCACTATGTTGGTCAGAGTATGTTCTATCTTCTGTGTGCAAAACACTGGCAAGCCAAGTAAAGTACGTATATTATAGTAATACCACATAACATATGACATATGTGACTCCCTGTAGACCAAGCATGATGTACAGGCTACAGCTTCACAATGACTAGCAGGGCTTATTATGGTAACCCGACCAGGCTGTGTGACTGACGTCGAAGCTAGTAATTCGGACCCACCGTAGTTTGGACCCAACAATTCAGACCCACTTTTAGTAATTTGGACCCACTTTGGTAATTTGGACCCACCAGTACCACATTTTCGAGCCAATTTTTAACTGATTTCTAATAGACGTCAATATAGGGGTATTCTAACTCTAGCAATACCGTTTCTTGGAGCTAGCAGTATGGCAGTAATCTACATTATTCTGAATCTATTTATTCTACTCAGACTACTGGCACTGCACTCTGTGAGTCTGACTCCGAGTCTGACCAACGACAAGGCCCAAGGATAGAGAACATGGGTCCCAATAAAACCAATGTGCCTAACCCTAACCCTAATTCTAACCCTGGCCCTAACGGCCCAAGGATAGAGAACATGGGTCCCAATAAAACCAATGTGCCTAACCCTAACCCTAATTCTAACCCTAACCCTAACCCTAACCATAACACCCCAACGACAACACCGACAATGTTTAGTGAGGCAAAGCCGACGGCAACGGCGTATATGAAGTCGAATAAACGATTTGGCTAGAACGATTTGATCAGAATAGGCTTAGTAAAACTATAAACTTGTAACAAGTTTCTAGTTTTACTAAGCCTATTCGAACAAGTAACATTTTAACTCACATTTCTAGGTTTCATAACAAAAACATAACAAAACGTTTATGTGCGCAGACATTTTGAAAACGATGTTCACGCCACCTGGTAGATGATCTGCTAGCCATCCGTCTGCTCTGCTCGTATCATTGATATGGCTCGTACCATGGCATCTGAGAACATAATATATTATGTTCTCAGCATGGCATAGGCTCGTACCATAGAAATAGATAGACAATAGATAGTTGTCTATCTATTTCTATGGCTCGTACTCACAACCGATACGCCTACGGTTAGCCAGATCGGAGATAGGAATTTACCATAGATATAGAATACACAATCTGTATTCTATTATCTGTGATTTTACCAATGCCATGCACATCTGTTGCGGCCATGCCCCTGTCCGTATTCAGCCACTGAATATATAGCCACTGAATATTCAGCCACTGAATATATAGAGATCAGTGTATTCAGCGTGTAAAATCGGCCGAAGAAACTTCTCTTGGCTGGCAACGGTGACCAGCGACACGAGCGCCATTCTCTGTACAATAGCATAGAAAAGGATTGTGGCGGGATATTGTGGTCAGAGTGAAAATTCGTAAGTCGAATATTACGATGACCTTCAAGCAAGGCCGTAGCTACCATTAGGCAATAGGAGGCAAATGCCTCCAACAAAATTTCTGAAAAAAAAAATTACGAGAAGAAATTTAGATGTAATATATGCAGAGAATGCACCACAGAGCACCATATAACCGTTGGCTTCTGGGGCCTTTAAGCGGGCCCCATACCCCACGCCCTATATTGGATCGCTTCGCTCCTTGTTCTTTAACTCACAACATTTGCCTCCTACAAAATTTACCTCTCTGGCTACGGCCCTGCCTTCAAGTTTCTATGCTATTGTACATTGGAATTGCACTCGCGTCGCTGGTCGGGTTTCCAGCCAAGATAGTTTATTTCAGCAAAACGTATGCGCTCAAAATGAGCAGGGGTATTCCCGGGAGAGATATGTGCATGGTAGAATCCGCCCTAGAAATTTCACGCTGGCCGCAGCATGCCGCCATAATCCTTTTCCTATGTTAATGCGCATATAGAAATGACGCTCGCGTCGCTGGTCGGACGGCCAGCCAAGACAATTTATTCCGGCAAAACCGCGCTCAAACTGGGCAGGGGCCTGTCCGGGAGTGATATGCGTGGTAAAATCCGCTCTAAGCAATTCACATTTGCCGCAGCATCGCGCCACAATCCTTTTCATACGCCAATGTAGGCCTACATAGGGATGGCGCTTCCGTTGCTGATCTCGCTGTCAGCCAAGATAATTAATTTCGGCCAAATTTACGCGCTCAAAATGAGCAGGGGCATGCCCTGGATAAATGTGCATGATAAAATCCGCTCTAGACTAGTACGTATTCAGAATACGTAAATTTTACCTGCGCCGCAGCATCGCGCCACAATCTTTTCTCTATGCCTGTGTACGCAGGGATGCAGCTTCCGTTGCTATAATCGCGTTGTCAGCCAAGATAATTTAATTCTTTCGGGCCAAACCTACGCGCTCAAAATGTGGAGAGGCATGCCTGGGAGTAATCGGCTAGGTAAAATCCGCTCCAAACAATTCACTAATTAGAGCACCAAGAGTTAGCCATCGGATAAGAATGATAATAAAAATTTAATGAAATTTCGCATAAAACCTTGAGTGTATCATTTCCACGTTGATATCGTGTAACCACTTACTATATCATCGCAAATCCGTAACGCTGACACGTCATTTTAATTACTACCACATTCGTATCGTACGTGTAATTACTATTATCATAAATTTCGTCGTCATTATACCTACGATAAAATATGTGAAATTGGGATTATATTCGGATGTATTTCATTATTAATTTCACTAGCTCAACAATTTACTCCAACCTACATTCATTGTTAGCTGCCCGACATTTTATGCTACGATAAGTATTGTGCCATTTCTACTTCATTGTTACATCATTATATTATTATTTAACAAGAATGTCATATTGATATCCTGTGTTTACTAGTATTATCCTAAATGTATACCACTGAGCTACTCGTTTGATATTGGGCAAGTGCCGCAGAGCGACGGTGCTCGTCTGAGGGCTGCTGCTCTGCTGATGTACTCTAAATTGCAGTTGTGCATAGCAACGCGTATTTTAGTTCCAAATATGTTCACATATGGCGTGAAACGTGAGAGGTCGCGGGGATGGTATCATGAGCGTCGTAGAATCGGGGTACAGCTCTACGATAGCGCCACGAGTTCACAGGTATATTCGAGCCTGATCGGCATGCACAAATAGCTGTTCAGGGTGTGTATGAGTTTTTCGCTTGGACGCCATACGCAGCTATGGAAACCCATGAACGGTCTGGTCAGCGTACACAGCTGCCTCTGCCATCTAGTCCTGCGAACAAAAACCTAATGACTTCTAATCTGCCAGTTTCGTGCAAAATGCCTGCCTGCTTGTCTATATGATGCGCGTGTAAAACCACGTTCTTCAAAAATGTCTGAAATATGGCTTTTGCACCACTGCCCTTTGATCTGTAACCTCCAATTTTGCCAAAGTGATGGTTTTTCTCTCCGTGACTCTATATACCGAATATCAAGAGCATAGGTCAAACAGTTTACATTTGTGCTGCAATTCCGCATTTCCCCAATGCTGGTCACCCATATTCCCCCTTCCTTTCCACTTTATAACATTTAACCCTTGACCCCCAGCTTCGACCTCATCTCTTTTTTGATTGCCCCCCCCCCCTACATCCCGAATATCAAACCGTAGGTCAAGCCTGTCTGTGGTAACAGTGACATCAACGTTGAACCATCTTCTTGAGGGTCAAAAGGTCACGGCTAAGTTACTCTTTGCACATCAGCGGAAAGCACATTTCATGGTCCTTTCAATAAAGCCATAAAAACGGTAGATCGCCGCTAAAACAAAAAAAAGTTTTCACTCGGTCTGTCCCACCATGTCATCAGAGAATGTCTAAAATCTGTTCTTTTCCCCCACTACCCTTCTGGGTAGCTCAAATTTTACGGCGGTTACAGATTTTCTCACCATGACGCTCTAATATCAAGAGCATAGGTCAAGCCGTTTCAATTGGGGGAATAACCCTCCTTCCTCTCTCCTTTCTACCCTTTGTTCCTTGACGCCCCCCCCCTGAGTTGACATCCTAATGTCTTTTCGGATGGCACCCTTATGTCCCGAATACCGACACCGGACGTCATGCCACTTAGATTTGTGCCCACATTGTTGACCAACGGACGGTCGGACGAACAGATGCTCATGCCATTCCACAAGCTGCATCTGACTGTGTCAAATATGAGAATGTGCACTGGCTTCTTGCTACAGGACATGATAAGTTACTTACTAAAACCAGAATTATAGAGTCATCAAGTCAAAATAAGAATCAATGTTTAGTAATATTCAATATATTATATAACGTACATGCTCGACAGATGGGATATGTTGAGTTATAAGAGGCTAGCATAGATTTCCTTAAACCTTGACATGACATTTGCAGCTAGAAAAGTACGACCATTTTATTGACTGAATAGCAAAACACTTTTAATGCATTTACATTAATAAAAATCGCATTATCTGGAATTTTGGAGTTCTTCTGGAGTTTTTTACACATTATTGTCCAACCTGCAATTTCTAATGTATGGCACAAAATCCTAACTGCAGTTATGCCATTAACCACCTGATTAACAACACACATAACGTAGCCAAACTGAAAAATAATTGATAAGCACAGAATATGCCATACATATATACAGGGAAAGAATTCCTTATATGCACATCGAATCTCACAATATCATTTCCCGAATAGAAGGCATAACAAAATAACATCAGCTGGCAAGCAAAAATTAACATTTTCAATTCCGGACAATCATGAAACTTCGTGCCACCGTGACATCCTATTTTGATTGTTAACATTAATCATGTGATTTTCCTGTTTAACTATTACTACTGACGGGATTTTCAATGTCAAAATATAACAAAAGCGGAAAACAATATCATAGATGTTATGGTTTCACATTAACACATATCAACATTAGTTGTAAAATTATGCTCTTCAGAACCACCAACGATTATCTATTTGTATTTTATATACCTAACTGTATATAGCCAACAGACAAACAAACTTCAGAGAGCCCGTTAACAGCATAGATTGATCGTACACTCTAGACAAATGAAAACCTTACCAGCACTAAAACATCACGCATCTGCAAATATCTCTGCAGTCAGTTGATTTTAGTTGCCCACACAGGCAATGTGAAGCACACAATATTTTCAGGCAGGATTTCATTATATTCTCCGTGCTTTTTTCACCCGATGAGAATACATAGAGACACTATATAACAACACACTCAATAACATCAGATTTGATCATACATACGAACACAAGTGATATCTGTGCCATAGCACATCTTTAATCAGAAATTTATTTTTGCAGATTCATATACATCCTAACATTAGATTTTTGAGATTTCTTGTTCAGACTCGGTCTAAATTCCATAAAACGGTTAAATTCCATTTAGAACATTCAAACTCTACTGATATCCAAGGACACAGTCAAACGGTACAGGATAACATATACATGGTAACATATATATATATGTATACACACAAGTGTGTGTGTATACGTGCGCGAACGCGCGTGAGCATGTGCTTGTGTATGTACGTATACATATGTGTGTCTGTAATATGGAATCACAGCATCATCATACATTGCAAGTGTAACCTACCTACATGCAATGCATTTTCCGTACAGAACGAGCTAACACACCCAGGAACGATGTCAAGGAATGGGGAAGTTCTCCACATCTCCAACCTCTACTACCTGATTATCATTCATCAAGTACGTGATTTTGTATTTCAGCTTGATTTTTTCCTGTAAAAACAGCACAACGGTTTGAGTACAATAGAAAATCGCACATATTTAAACGAATATTTCACAGCTGGGTAGTAGAATAACCAGTTTCATGCACAGTTAGAAAAATAGGTCACAGGTTTGAATAAAATGGCCTGTTATGTAGAATTCTAATGCATCTATCAGATACCATAGGGAATAATGGTTACAAATATATATATATATATATGCCTATATCAAGATCACTCGTGATTATAAATATGGTCGTTGAGGTATTCATCAAAAGATTCAAAACTCACTATTAGTTTTCTGAAACCCTTTGCTTATGCCGTGGCAACAACCAATCAGATCGTAAGCAGTATTTGATGCACGATCAATCTAAACCTTACCGATCCTGATCTAAATCAGGATAGGTACCAAACAAACACATCCGAAATCCAGGTTAAACTTCGTCACGACATTAACACAGTACACAGTAAGAGAGGATGGCCGATTAGATTTGGACAATAGTTTAGCTCATAGGGTCTATGTCCCCCAGGGTACTGCCGGAACGTACCCTGGGTACGGTCAGGTATACCGGAACGTACCCTGGTACCTATCTGATATGGTTAGGGTTAGGGTTAGGGCTAGGGTTAGGGAGTAGGGGTAGCCGACTCCCTAGACTCATTGGTGGAGTAGGCGAGGTTTGGTCCGGCATATTAGATAGTACCAGGCTACGTTCCGGCATAGACCCTCTCAGCAATAGTTTAAGCTTATTAGTCACCTTTAGTGGATTTGCGAGCAGCATAACCTGTGTGATCGCAGCTGGAGGCAGAATCGGATTGAAAGCAGGAAGATCTGCTGCAGATGCCGGCTGAAGTTTTACCTTCATCACCTGTGGAAGCAGAAATTCTTGTATTACATTACAGTAATATCCCGATTATTTTCACCCATGGAAGGAGGAATGCTTGCATTAGTGTTCCCGTGTATACTGTTTGGAATACATTCCTGGAACATGCCGCAGTAACCGATGCAGCATTGTACCAGGTCATTTGGATATAAACGTATGTCATCCTTTACTTTGCAGAGCGTAGGGATAATAAGAGCTGCACTGGACTCATTGAATGGTCATTTAGCATGTGTTGAGAAAAAATGCAGATAAGAGATAAATACAGTAATTAAAACAGAAAAGCACCAAAACCAAATCAAGAAAACAGCTAATGCGTAAAATGCAAGTCTGCCTTGTTATCTGCAGAGCTTCGGCTACCTTCGGCACAGCTGCTTGGAATGTGAAGCCCTTTACAGACACAGTGTTCATGTTTATTGTAGAGACAACCATGACCGCCACATCTTCCCTCGGCGCGTTCTTCGCAAAATGCATGACTGTCCTCAGCCCCCCTTTGTCATAAACGTTTAATGGTGACAAGGTACCTGTAAACAGGAAAGCGTATTTTAAAGTAATGATTTCTGATGTTTTTTCTAACCATTCTCATGTTTTCCAGACCGCTCTGATACTTACCGAAACTCCTTGTGTAACAACAATCGTATACGGTATCACAGAAAATGTGTCTTTGAACATTCAGATATTATACTATTTTCACGATGTATGCACTGATCTGCATTTCAAAGTATATTTGGTTACAAATGACGATTACACATCTTACAAGTTACATGGCACATGATTCTCAAATCCAATGAGATACTATCAACCAGGGTAAAAAATACACGGGAGTGGTGAGCGATTCGCTCTTCAAACATCCGAAATCGCTCCCGTGAGGCTCACAATAGCTCCCGTAAAATTGTTGACGCCATTTTTCCCATAGACTTTTGAAAAACAGCTCCCGTGAAAAAAGTTTCCCCCTGCTATCTACTAGTACCCTATCTGTACACCTTAGTCTGCACGTCGAGTTATGGTACGTACCAGCCTAGAACAATTTACATCACAGGCGCTTGTATTTGTGGAATCATTTTCAGATTTCATTTTTGGAATCTCAGGAATGCAAGAGCAAGTTCGCCGTTCACTTTCCGTTTCATAGCAGATAACAGCACAAACTTGTGGTAATTATTATGCTGGAGTAATCAGTAATATGTCCGCTTAATGGGTGACACCTAATTTGTCTACGTTAATATTTTTCGATTTATTTGAGAAATAATAATTTCAAGTTCTATGTTAGTTAACATACGTTACGATAGTAGTGATAATATTTAGATAATTTCATTGGATTTATGATCTATTTCAGCACCATTTCTCACGCAGTCCTCTACTCACGAGAAACAATCGTAGGTTTTGCAAATCGATGAAACTAGCCAGTACCTGGTTGGACATTTTCCAGGTGTATAAACAGGTCTGTGAGCGGTAGCACCTGAGCAGGGCTCGTTGGAGTACTCGTCGTCTTTGTAATCGCGCTGGAGGCTGCTGTCATGGTAGCCGACACAGCAGGGGCCGACTTCTGCATAAGATTCATTGGCGTCTTCCTAGGAGGCTGAAACCTGTGATGCATAACAAATATTCCAAATGAGCTCACCTGCGTTGTAACTACTGAAGGCTAATTAGTTGAAGTAGCACACAATGGTGACTCACTAGAATTAATCTATCCTGATTAACTCTACTGCCACAAAAAATCCCAATTAGACAATACTTTAATACAACTGTACGTTAAAAGCAATCCATTCTGTAAACGATTACATAATCTGCTGGTAGAAACACGTTTCTTTACCTAGCCGGTGTCATTGTTATCATCAAACGGTGATCAGCGAAACGTACGACACGAGCATGTAAGTTATACGTGCCGCCACGACACATGCCAGCATGACTGTACAACTATAGCTCAAGCTGTGCATCCGCAGTACACGTCAGGGTACTAGCCAGGGGGGAGAGTATGAGAAGGGGTCCTCCACCTTTCATTGTGGGCGTATGGGGGGCCTCCCCCAGAAAATTTTTTCATGTTTAAATCTTTTAATTTTTTAATTTTTTTGGCCGTGCAGTTTCAAAACTGACCGTGAATATCACGGCTGCACGGCTCGCTGGCTGATACGTTGGTACACGTACTTGTTTTGTCCCGACACGAACATGTCGATAGGCATCTGCTGCTCGATGAGCTTCTGACCGATTGCATCCAATTCGTCCAGTCCTTTCGCTACCGGACGCTCGCTCGACTTCGCAGGTGACGTCGACACAGCCTGCTGCGGCACCATCGGCATCGGACCTGGAGACGTGAACGTTAGCAGGGCCGTAGGCTGACCAAGTTCCTGGGGGGGAGGGGCAGTGGCGAATCCAGGATTTCAAGAAGGGGGTGAGAAACAGGTGGGGGGGTCTGGGGGTCCTCACACAGAACATTTTGAAAATGTAGATCGCAGGAGACGGTATTTGAGGCACTTTTAAGTACATGTAACATGTACAGCCTTCATTCTGACTACGACAATTCTCTTTTAGTAGAACAATTAATTTTTTACATTTTGCTCCAAAATCTAGGGGGGGCCGCCAACAACGCAGCACACGCTGACACGACAACTGACGTGGCTCAGCGCCGCATACTCACCCACGAGTTCACCCGGGTCGTGTTTCATCGCAGCCGCGGCCGAGTAGTGAGAGCTGGATTGCAGAAACACATTGTGAAGTTCCTCCGACGTCCCGTGCAGCAGTGATTGGGTCGGCACGACGGCGGCCGCCATCGTTGGCCGTACCTGCTCGGCCGTACTGAACGTCGAGGGTGCAGGGTAGGCCGGCGGCGGGCCGCTCGGCAAGGCAGCAACTGGGGGCAGCGTTACATGTGGCGGTGTGTGATAGAGAGGAGCCCTCGGAGCCGCGGGAGCTGACACTGACGCACTAACAAAGTCGTCAAACACCTGTAGACGAGACGTAAAGCCACGAGCTTATCGAGTGACGTGCGAATAAAAATCATGCTGCAATTATGATGTGATTTGATGATAAGTTTAAGAGTTTTATAAAACTATCTAAATATAATTCAATCAAAAGCAGAAATTGAACAACATCGAAAAAGAAATACATTATTCTTGCTATATAAGAAACAAAGGGAAGTTATTGTTATTGTTTTTATAGTTGTTGTTGTTGTTTTTGTTATTATTATACATCATCATCATCATCATCATCATCATCATCATCATCACCATCATTATTAGTCATCATGTCCAGTGTCCTACTAACACTATTGACCTGTCAAACCACAAGTACTTACATTGCTATTTGCTGGCTGAGTTGCCGTCCCCGGCACACTAAAAATATCGTCCAGTTCAGAGAGACTGCTAGCTGATTTCTGTGTTGCTGCAGTCTTAGCTGGAGTGAGGTGCATACTGTCATTCGTAAATTCTGACATACCTGACATAGAGAGCATGGTGCAAAATTAACGCGAGTCCGGAGTCAAATATGCCCTGATATACTGTCGGACTCCCTGATTTGACATATGCAGGAGTTCGTGTGACTCCCTGATAATTCTGCTATACTAAATAGTTCGTTCCAGAGCACGACCTCGCAGTATGTTTCAGCAAATGCCCAAAGAAAATTTGGCAGACGTGCAACCTCATGAATCTTCAAAATAAGCACATGTCTTATTGTTAATATCTTCAGTTTTGAACTTCAGACTGTGGACTCCCTCATTTTGCTGCGGACTCTCTCTTTTTGAGGGCAGGAAGTCTGTTGGACTCCCTTGTTTACAAGTTAATTTCTACCCCTGAGAGAGATTGCATAACTGTATTCATCTTTATGCTAATTTGGCACACGATGTGAATAACTCGCTATTTATCCCGTGCCAACTATACACAACTGCTCCTAATTTCACCAAAGTGTTCTGAATAATTACTCTTTCGTGCACTTTATAAAAGTTTGAAGATACGGCATCACGTGATCGATCAGTTGAGTTTGCGGACAATTAATCACAGGTGTAACAACTGATTTCCGCCATTCGCAGGTTACGGCTAACAACACCACCAGCCACAGCAGTAGCAGTACGATTACGGCACCTACCCATGGCCGAGAGGTCAGCATCGAGAAGCGCGCTATCAGCTATTTGGGCTGCTTGCGAGGTACTGGTCGTGTCCAGGTCCAACAAAGAGGGACCTGCTGCACCTACAACCAACATGCACACGACCCTGGTCAATATACCCTTACTCACACCTTACCCAACCCCAGCTCTAACCAAACATGCCACACGGACCCCTGGTCAATATACCTTACACCTACAACCCCAGCTCTAACCAACATGCACACGACCCTGGTCAATATACCTTACTCACACCTACAACCCCAGCTCTAACAACATGCCACACACCCTGGTCAATACTACCTTACTCACACTCATACCGCCCAGCTCTAACCCAACCATGCCACACAACCTTGGTCAATATACCTTACAGCCTCCAACCACAGCTATAAGCCAACATGCACACGACCTGCGTCAATATTACTTTACTCACAACGCTACCAAAACCCCAGACTCTAACCAACCATTGCACAGCAACCCTTGGTCAATATACTCTTACAGCCTACAACCACACCTACAACCAACATGCACACGACCGCTGGTCCAATATACCTTACTCACACCTACAACCACAGCTATAAACGACAAGTACACACTCCTGATCAACACACCTTGCTCCTGCTTAAAACCCCAGCTATGCCAACAGCATCTATATATCAACAAGCAAGAAGATCTCTATGGTCAGTATATTATGTTACTCCCACCTATAACTACAGATGTATGTCCCTAGTCAATAGAACTTCCTCTCAGCTGTGGTGTCTATCAACTGCTGTATCAAATTTATCGATTTGCAAAGAACTAAGTTACAATGGGAAATAGCTTTGCACCTTTATGTGTACTTCCCAATAGACGTTCGCCATTCTCCTGCCTTGCATCAGCTACTAACTGCACAGGGTTGTCGTCAATGATAACTGCTTTGTAGCGCTCCATCACACGAGTCAATTCGTCGTTCGCTTTCAACACATCGCCTACAACGACGTACCATTACGTTCAAATCCGATTAACAGAATGTAAAACATTATGCATTATCAATAATATCGGGGGATGATTAAGAGTTATACCAGTTCTAAATTAAAGGGCATGAATCCGGATAATCGTGCACTTCTGCACGTACTGTAACTATATGCACTAATGACATTGTATACTTCTATCAGTTCCACAATATAGGCAACATGTACCAACATTTTGAATTATGGATCAGTTGTTTGTTTCAAACTTGAACACGTTACTTCACGCATTGCTTGAATAGCCTGAGTATATGGTGTGATTACATTGTACCTGCTCCATATGATCAAATCCCTTAGCATGGGGTAAGTGTGAAAATGTGCTTACCAATGGCATCATCATCTGTTTCACTTGCTAGCCTGAAGAGGCTGGGTCGAAGCTTATCGCAGGACACATAAAGTTCCTTGTCAGAACAAAACAAACCAAAATTAATTAGTGTGGTTTTTCTTATTTGCATAATTAATATTGATGTTTGATTAAAAATGCAAGAAACCCATTAAGAGTAACATATTCTATTTTGTCTCACTTCACTCCTCATATAACTTTAATTCAAATGCATAGGACATCTTTTGAATTAAGTAGAATAAACGTTTAGAAATGAAGTCACAAGTTAAAATTGGTTTAAGTGCGTAATCCACTTTAAGCTTTAACCAACATTGACTAAACAAAGGAATTTCTTACTTTCATTAGCTCTCGATCTTCTGCGCTTGCTGTTGCACTGCTGTAGTTTGACAGCATATCCGCCAGCAGCTTTGCATTGTTACCTACTGTCTCCAAGTCGGATATACGCTTACTCACTTTCTCGGATTTGGCAGCATCCTATACATGACAATATTCACTATGTTTATTAAAAATAATGATTGAAAACAACATATATAAACATGTCATTTACAACAACAAAAAACAATAACCTAGATACAACAAGTATTTTTTATTTTTTAGCTGTTGCTAAAAGTTTTCCATCATGAACAGTAAATTAGGCATGCAATGTCAATGTCAATCAATTTTGCCCCATCAATTTATACCTATAAATAATTAGTTAATAAATAGGTAAATGGTAGTAAATAGGTAAGATTTTTCACCTACCCACATTGAAATAACAGGTTGGGTTACTGGTATATTTCAAGGGAAAAATAAATGTAGACTAGTATAAAACACACCTCCCTAACCAAATTCTTGATGAGTCTATTCGCTGCTTGCAAATCATCCGGATTTCTGCTCTTTAATAACTTTGATAATAACTGCAAAAGAATAATAACAAAGACACCTTTTAGCCACATTATTTACTAACCGATTGTCGTTCCACTTGTTATAAGTTCTGCAGATACCCACAAACATGAACAGGAAATTCTTGTACACATATCACTTATTATCAAATATTTACCAATTAAATCGTTATCGCAAAAAATTGTCACTTTCATATAAATATGAAGAATATAGTTGTTCTAAATTCAATACCTTCTGTTTATCTGCATCTATAGCTAATTCATTTCTGCGGGGACTGGGTGGAACCACTCCCGTATTTCCATACTGAAAACATCATATTACTATTAAGTATGAGCACCTGCCAGAATTTTTAGTATAGAATGAACTTCTCATGACTAATAATAATGGCTATAAAATAATACGGTTAATGGTCAACTGCATAACGTCAATTACAAATCTTTACAGTTCATGCATAGAACTAGTCATTTCCACATAGCAACTTGTATAGCATGTACTGCATAGTATATTGTATAGCATTATTCAGATATCTGGACAGCATAATTCATGCTACACCACACCAACTTTACAAAATAATATAAATACAAAATGAAAAAATTACATGAGAAAAATATGTGATTGAAATTGTCATATGCACTCACAAAACAACTACACTGTCTTAAAATCTACTGATTTAACACTACCAACAATATAAAAACTTTATAATGACAAAATGTGCACATGGCTGTACCTGGATATTTCTGACAGGCGATGCAGGAAGTATTGGGTCCTGCTTTACAATGCCTTGGCGTTTAAGCATCTCATATGCCTCCTTGATTTTTGGCTCATGTGGTGCTATTAACGTCCACTGATACATCAACTCGATAACTTTAACATGAACCCTAGGCGATGTTTTATTCCCCAAGTACTAGGGAATGAATAGAACGAAAAGCATGTATATTTTACCTCATGTGTCTATGATAGAAAAGGTATAGGCACAATTCTGTATTATTATATTTGTGCTAAAAATGGAATATAATGAAGTTGACCAGCTATTGGCATTCCCATTGATAATGGATCAGCAATTCCATATATCATATAATCTTACCTTTGGAGACACCAGCTTTATCATTTCATTTAAAAAACGGAATTTTCCTATTTCTTGATGGAATCTTTTCTCGCAATTCTTTGCACAATGTTCAAGCACCTGCAAAATATCACCTCTGTGTATGATTGTTTCAAAATAATTCTAAACTGTACATTTATGAAGACAACTTTATTTATAATCTACATCATACAATCTGCTACCTATAAATGACATGTATGCATCACTTTCATGAACATTTTAGCATTATACAACAGGGTGCGAAATTAATGCGAGTCCGGAGTCAAATACTCCCTGATTTGACATATGCAGGAGTCCGTGTGACTCCCTGAAAATTCTGCTATACTAACTAGCTCGTTCCAAGAGTACGGCCTCGCGGAATTGCCGTATTTTTTCAGCAAATGTCCAAAGACAATTTGGCAGACGTGCAACCGCATGAATCTTCAAAATAAAAATAAGCACGCAACTTTTGAACTTCAGACTGCGGACTCCCTCTTTTTGAGGGCAGGGAGTCCGTTGGACTCCCTTCTTCAAAAGTTAATTCCTACCCCTGATATAAAAGAAACATCAATAACTAGTGAAGTAGCTTACTGAGAGAGCAATAAGAGCCTCCCACTCCTGTGGTGACTGTATTTTGTGACTGATGAGTTTGCAGGCTGTCTGTGGACCCTCATGCTCTCTGTTCACCTGATCACAAAACGTTATTATCTGCTCCCAGTTCTCCTCGCAGTTCACTGGATTTGTTATTTGATCTGTGCATAAATGGGATAAAATAAAAGCATTAGCTGAGTATAGGAGTGCTTAGAGTATATTAGTACTCTGGGGAACATAGCTACAAATTGACATACAAACACTATTCTATGGCAGAGAACTTGTCATTTGTACCACATGATTTGCAGTTTTTCAATTGTTGAGCCTTGAGGTAATCTACTGCATACATAATGGTTGCGGAAACGGGTTTTTGTTTCATAGACATAAAGTTTATCGATTCTCGAGTAAACTACACCAAGATTTAATCATTGATATCCCCACTCCAATCCGACTCATTTAAGGAAGTATTCAGTACCGAGATATAGGTTGATTATCTGTGTCACTCTCTGTGTACCACTACCAGCAGTAGTGGCAGTACCCATACATTACATGATACAGTCCGGGGGAGGGGCAATGTCACATAGTGATAAACAATTAGGAACATTATTTCGTAGAAAGTCAACGCAGCCCCAATAATAGGACGGCAGCTAGTACTTTAGTTTAAGTGTCACAAAATATTAGTTTGTTATGATTGTTATGATTACGAACAAAATAAACGTGATCCATAAACCATAGGGCCAGGCCTAGTTTGATGCGAAAAGTAAAATATGAATCAACCACTGTCCATATGGACAGTGCGTTATGTTTCATAGTTTCCCAGGACTACGTAAACTCTAATAACTCACTAAAAATGTTTTCTAACGAGTCGGAAGCCGCCATGATCAGTGGGAATACGATGAAAATTAAATTTCATCAAAATACGGAGCTGTAGTTTCTGGTTTCTTGCAACCTCAACTTGCTCCCCATCCGTGATAACAAAAGCGACACCTTTCGGTAGAAAATGTTAAAAACCAATGCTACTGTATCGCCATCTGCTGTGAAGATTTGTAAATTACTTTATTTATTGCCAATAATCTTGTACCTAATACAAGGAGCTAATACGAATATTGTATCAATTTGACGTGATATATTTCGTGTGATAACATTATACAACAATAAAATTACCCCTTAATTGGAATTTTTTTCCTCCATGTAGAGCAATACACAAAAAATTTTATGCATACAAATTCACTAATAATATTTATTGTCATATAATTACAAAACAAAAAGTGAAATTGCATGGTTTAATAAAAAATTTGTTTAGGCAATGAAAATCATGATTGTGAGAACTATAAGGAGGCTAATCTTTACACAGATTTAAGCAACAATAGACAGATATTGTAACTAATTCATGTTAACCAAAAAACATAATTTTTGCCATTGATATCTTCATTGACACGTAGATATATAACCTTTGGCATAACTAGTTCCTCAAACTTATAGGAATTCATAAAGTTTCTATATGAATGTATGTTTCCAACACATTTGCTGTTTATTACATTATTATATGTAATAAAGCTAGTATAACATATAGTATAGTTTTTTTGCCAGATTTGTAAAAAGTATAGTGAAATTCAAACCTAATGTAGCAACTAAGCAAAAATAACAGAAAGGTGAATTGGTTGATCACCATGGTAACTGCAAACACAGGCACATGGACTTAGCTGGCACTCGATGAACATGGTCTCAGCTTGCAGTGCACAATTACCATGGTTACGGTACACACTGATGTAACATAGTCACAGATTGCTCCAGACGACTCCTATGGTCGCAGCGACGACCAACTCGGCCAATACAGTTGCCGGATGATTACCATGGTTACAGCCAATATTGGTGGGTGAACATGGTCACCGTAGTTGCTGAACAGTTACCATGGTTACAATTCTGAACGAAGTGTGAATGAACACGGTTGCCTCTTGCTCTAGACAATGAGTACTAGTAACGCCAGCACTATTTGATGACCACGAAGACACAATGAGTCCTGATAGATGAACACTGTTTCATGATTGCGATTAAGCTCCATCACTGCTTGCTCTGGGCTGCCTCCTTGCGTGCTGCATCTTGTAAGAGTTGCGTGTCACACTCATCTGCTGGCAACTGGACGTATCGCACCACGGATCCTCGTATAAAACAGTTTTTCACGGACAGCTGGAAAATTATGAGAGGATTCTTTTTTTCTTGCATAGGCAGAGGAATTTTGGCTGCAATTGTCACTTATATATAGAATACTTATTAGCTGCAAGTTGTCAGTGTTATGTGCAAAATTTACATTCTTTACATACCTTTACATTGACGTTTTTTTTTACATGTTTGCTACTATATAATATCAGGAGTTCATGAAGACAAAGGAGTTTGACTCGTATTTGGTACCGATTTCACTACATTTTTGTCGTATGAGTTTGATGTGAATAAAAATACAAATGTATACAAACATGAGCTTCTTTTGTTCGCTGGTCCTTATTCTATCTCCCGGTAGTAATACAAACCGCGTAGCTTCCTTCGTTTTGACGTAAAACATACTTTTGCACGACATGGTTTTCACGTTATTTACCGTCGTGTGGCGTTGCCAAGCCGCAAATTCTCATGCACAGCAACTCGAAGGAGGCGCGGCAGGGAATTTAGGCCGTAGTCTAGCCGAGTGCAGAAAATGCGCTTAGAAATTAAGTTTTGTTGTGCCCATGCTGGGTTTAAAAATTAAAACTATTTTACATTTAAACTATAGTTAGAATGCCTTGTTTTTATGGTTGAATCCAGCAGTTTTTTTTAAAATAAACGCTGCGCTGGTAAAATATCTGAACTACTTCACCCGCGGAGGAATGATGTGTATGAATCTTAGCGAGTAAATTGACGCTCCAGCTGATTGTAGCTTTTCGCACGTTTGCGTACGGGAGACACGATCCCTGCCGCGCCTCCTTCGAGTTGCTCTGCATGAGAATTTGCGGCTTGGCAACGCCACACGACGGTAAATAACGTAAAAACGTGCAAAAGTATGATTTATGTCAAAACGAAGGAAGCTACGCAGTTTGTATTACTACCGGAAGATAGAATAAGGACCAGTGAACAAAAGAAGCTCGTTTGTACATTTGTATTTTTAATCACATCGAACTCATACGACAAAAATGTAGTGAAATCAGTACCAAATACGAGTCAAACTCCTTTGTCTTCATTAACTCCTGATAATATGCATATACACATGCTACTAGGTATATCTACGCAGTGCCACTGAATAATTACCATGTGTGGATATTTGTCAGGGTCTGTCACACTTATATCTGTTAACTTGATGTTTAAGTACTGATCCACAGAGTGCAGTGTTCCACATATACTACAATAAAATAACAACATTAACATGAGAATATAGTATAATACTATGAATATGCCCTTCAGCTTTATAAAATATTATTAAAGACTTATTCTAAATGCTCAACTGGCAAGACTCTAATAAATATAAGTAACATTTAATAAATATTAGAAATTGTAATTTCTTAGCATCTTGTACATTTTGCACATATATAAATTTTCCCTTGCTTGTTTGCCATACTACATACTCCTGTCACCAAATATTACGTACAATTTATTTCAAGTGACTATCACTATATAAGTCACTTACCTGAGATCATTTTTCAATTCCACAACCACATCCTTCCCAACAAGGGATTTGAAGAATGAGTAAAAGAGCTGAAAAACAGAATGCTATGTTACCATATATATACACAACTCACAAGACAAACTGTCAATCACACTAAAGCAACTATAAATACTCTCAATCAATCAACACACAGACAACAACTAATTTCCTGTTGTGGTAAATAGATGATATTAAAACTATAAACTGTTGAAAAGATTGGAGTTGCCAGTGGCACTGCCACTGTGTTGTACAGATAAATTTGAAAGATGGCTAAGAAGATTTATTGGGCAATTGAGACACATTTCCTCTACTTTGGAGCTTGGTATGTATTGTTGGTAGGGCCTAATAAACAAATCGCTTTTTATTTTCTTAGTATTGGTACTGTTTTGTCAATGCAACAGTATAGCCTGCAGCTGTGACTCATAGTCACAGCTACCTTCAGTGTGACCAAATACATAATGTGTAGATGACTGCCGAAAGGAACATTGTCAGTAGTTTGTGGTTGATTAGACAGACCACCGGCAGAGGTACCGACGATGTATAAAGGCTAGCCGACAACAAGCAACAAACAGTGAAGAGTAGGCCTGTACCGTAGTATTTGGACGCGCGCCCGAAACTGGACGCTCCTAAGTGGGCATGCGTGCAGGCGCCTCTTGTTTTGCAAGGGCGCATGCACAGCATGCGCAGTAGTCATCTGCGCATCTCGCCCATCGAAAACGGTCGCAATAAACAAACATAGCGGCCAACCAGGTCACTCATGGAAACATTTGATTGAAACAATTTGCAATGTAGTAAGTTAGTAAGACTGTGTTATGTGTGTCAGGTTACAAGGCGAAACAAAAAGAAAACAAAAGAGCATGGCTGCTTTTTCTATGGCCCTGCAAACCAAGATTCAAACAAAAAGAAAACAAGAAAAAAACAAAAGAGCATGTGCGTATGCACACTTAGGAGCGTCCAGTTTCGGGCGAGCGTCCAAATAGTACGTAACCTGTATAATACAGTCGTTATGTTCCGCACGGCTACACTAACGCCTGTAAGCGAGCGCCGCGCCAGAGGTTCGCGAGCCTCGTTATCGATCGACCGTAAATGGTGTTTGACTGATGGCGGGGAATCGGATTAGCGGCGAGCAATCGAGCGTACAGAAGTAAATACGGCAAAACTTCGCCCCAGGCGAATACCTGATAAATGGAAACAATCTAGTTAATGGCTTTGGCAGAAGCGTGCACTAATTGCAGTTATAAATTCAACTTGAATAACTTGAGAAATGACGTCAGGCAAAAGCCTGCTCGCTGATTGGACGACCTAATCACAGTCGCTGCGACCTGCTCACTCATTGACCGGTCTGGCTCAGTCAGCAGCCACCCACTTTCATATAGACTATAGTAACTAAGTAAGGAGTTTACGCTCTGGTGAGTAGGCCCTCTAGCGGCCGTTACGATCAGGAGCGGTAATCATTAGCGACTAACGTTAAATACTACGGTACAGGCCTAGGGCCTACGGCAAGTACTAGGCCTACTAGTAGTAGTACTAGTAGTAGTACGGATAGCTCTACTAGTACGGACTACTGAGCTACGACTACGAGTACGAGATAACCGGCGGGGAGGTGTTGTTGGGTAGGGCGTACATTATTATTTATAGCTCTACCAGTGTAGCCCAAGCTGCTTAATATTGTTATATAGGCGGCAGCATCGATTAAAAAATTGTTTATCTTACCATTTTAAGTATAATTTCGCTATTTCACACCAATGAAGCTTTATAATTTATTTTACACAACACACTTGCCGCTTTACTAAAGAACCACGTGGGACAATCAGCCAATCGTTGGTGTTACCCCTGGTGGCAGAAGTCAGAATTCAATATGGCTGCGCCCATGAAACATGTTGAAGCTATGCTTCGTAGTTTTCGTTTGTGTAAGACCAAGAGGTAAGGCACACCAAACTTATTAAAGAAAGTATAGCGTAGACTAGTTGATGTTATATTAGTGAGTCGTGAAATTTTGATAAAAGTTTAAGCTAAAACGAAAATTTAAAGTTGAAACTGCACTGTGTGTGTGTCTGCGACCAAACTGATCTCTGTATCATGTATGCTATTAGCCACAAGTTCCCATCTCGCTTAACACTACGTGGCGAGAGGCCTCCGCCAGTGTACCGCCAGTGTACAGTCCTCCGCCGTGTAACTAGTCGGAGAGCCTGGTCGGTTTAGTATGCTATTAGTATTAGTATTACTAACAGTAACAGTAACTGGATAGCAATTACCTACTGAGGCTACTCCACGTTCAGTGGGAAAGCGATGCCACGCCGCCACTGGCCGCTATCTTACAAGTACTAGTAGTACAACCATTCTGCACTCGCCCAAAAGCCGAACTCTGCCGGTGTGCGCTCCATAACTTTTCACAAGGATTATGACGAAATGAAGCTCATTTCATCATTCTCATTCGCATGAAAACAAACTGATTATTACCCGACAGAATTTATATATGTAATAAAGAATGTATATAGATCAGGAGTAGATAATAGGGAAATTCCCTATTATCTGCTCCTGATATAGATGGATAGAGAAACGAGAAAGAGAAACAAACGATGTGATTCTGCATAGAGGTTTTGCGCGTGATGTCACAAGTCATGTGAATACTTGGCTCAGCCTATTGTGCCTATTGACTATTCTATGATAATATTCCTACTGAGAGTGGTCATGGCATCTGGTGGCTACACCTAGTATAGTGGCCACTTAGAGCTATTCAGTTAGTATATATAGCGATCAGTGGTCTGTGACATATGACCTAATGAAATCCGATTTTGACCACTCAGTTCTGTGTGTCTAATTTAAAGAAAGAAAGGTACTAATATGCATCTTCCTCAGTGCTGTTAAACCTAGTGTTTTTGCTGTGTTCTCGACATAGGTCGAACATTGGCAGGCTGAGCAAAAAGATGTTGGGCCAATGTTGGGCCAACGTTGGCCCAATGTTGGCATGTTGGCCCAATGGCTGCATGCTATCTGGATTACTACTACTAGAGACCATACAGAAACACTAATCATTCTGTTTTATAACTCATAGCTGACAGAACATACATGAACATACAGAACATACACATATATACAAACTCGAAATTATGAAGGAGGCCCCCTGCACCATTAAACTGGAACACATTTTTGGCTGAGCTCAGTCCTGACAGTAGCAAGGTGTTATATATGGATTACACACATGCTTGAATCCAACTTATTAATTGTATCAATTGCACTTCATAACTCAATTACCTGTATTCAACTTTTTATTTCCAGGTTACTGACGTGTTCTCGGCCAAGAATCAAGATGGCGAGGCAGTACAGTAAAAGAAACGTTTTGGAGCTTCATGAGCGTGGATTGTTCCAGGACATATTCCCGGATGCAAAGTCAGTTCATTATCCAAAAACCATGTAGTAACAGTAAACTAGTAGTGGAAAGTATAAACGGTATATACTCACTTTCGAAATTACTGATACGATTAAGTTTATCCTGTTTCCCATGATATGTGAAAAAAAGACTCGTAAGTTCATCAAACAAAAAGTTACACATATAATAACTTTGTGTTTAGACATGAGTCATGATACCAAAATGATAAAGATTTCCTTTCTAATGAGTTTTACCTTCTACAAATAATGGATATAATACCAGTGTTTCCCCTTGTATATAATAAGTGAGGCGGGGTTGCCTTGCTAATTTTTCCTTCTGCCTGGCTCAGTATTTTCTGAAATTGCTGTTTGCAAATTATCGCCCCCCCCCCCACTCGTTATCTGGCAGGCACTTCCAAGTCCCGGGTTCTCCTCCTACGATTGCTAAATCGTACACGGCATCCTCCTAGGATTGATAAATGTGCCACACATCAAAGCTAACACTGTAGCCACAACCATGCTTGCTACGCACCAGGCATGTTACAGCCAGGCATGCACTAGGCAAGTTTAATATGAAGGCACTTACATCAGCACCTTAGACACACACTTATTCAACCCTGTCCCATCGCTCATGGTTTTATAGAAGAAACACTGTATACAGGGGAAACACTGTAATACTACTCTAAATCAATTATATCTAGGTTAAGTTCACGGGCAATTTTTTTTAGCAGAAAAGCACTTGTGGATACACTCAATTCTGGCAGCCAGTGTATTTACTGTGGATTTGATCCTACAGCAGACAGCCTGCACATTGGAAACCTCCTCGCTCTCATCGCTCTCATTCATTGCAGTAGAAGTGGACACTCACCAATTGTTGTGGTTTGTACTGTTTTATATCTGCTTGCACAAGACTTTCAGTTTAGGTGTTTTGACATGTGGAATACTATCAGTTCGGTCCCTACATACATCTGCCAACAGTAGTGGCATAAATCTTAATGGCTTCTACAATGCAAATCTTTGGATCATCATCGATATTCCCGAAATACATTGCACTTTTTAGGAATAGGAATTGTAGCAAGATGAGACGTATAGAGAAACACTGCAGCTATTGGAAACTTGTTTGTTTCTGCAATAATTTTGATGAGATACGTGCTGGGAAATCCCATTTGCTCTGTCAGATTTTTCTATCTTTTTTTTCAGCTAGGTGGCGCCACGGCGCAGATTGGAGATCCGAGTGGTAAAACGCATGAGCGTGATGCGATGACAATAGACACTATAGACACTAATGTGATGAGAATTCACTCAACTATCGAGAGAATCTTCACGAATCATCAGCAACATCTTTATCACTCAGAAAAGGAATTACCTTCCGTAAGGTGTGCATCCAAACTACCATAATCATTGCCATTTATATAAATTTCATAAATGTAAATGCAAACCTTACAATCATCTTAATATATAGGTAACTGCCTGTGAACAAGAAACTTCTATATTATTCTTAATTTTTATCGTTTAAATTAATCTGTGATCTACAGAATCATGGATAATAGGAACTGGTACAAAACTATTAATCTGGTGGACTTCCTAGCAAGCACAGGGAGAAACTTCAGAATGGGTCAGATGCTGGGAAAACAAAGGTATGAATGTTCTGTTGCTATACAATAACTTTTTTATTTGTTAGGTTATGGCACTTTTTAATTAACCCCACACGACAATTTCACATGGCTTGTGTGCTTGAAGTAATAAGTGATGGACCTTTTGTTATATTTTAGTGTTGAGACTAGACTACAGAGTCCGGATGGAATGAGTTTCACAGAATTTACTTACCAAGTATTTCAGGCATACGACTGGCTTCATCTATACAGAGAACACAACTGTCTATTACAGGTATGAACTTCTAACATTGTGGATATGCTTGTATGTGTGTGTTCAGTGACATGTATCCAAGTATGCGTATTGTGTGTATTTGTGTGTTACGTCCCTGTGTGTTTGTGTGTGCACGCATCCGTGCATGCATGTGGTGTGTGTGTGCATGTGGATATATGCGTGTGTGTCTGTGTTTGTCAGTAACTGTGGGTGTCACTTGAAATCATCATATCGTCCTTATCTCCTATGATATTTTTTTGCAGATAGGAGGGAATGATCAGATGGGAAACATGAAGGCAGGATACGATCTCATTAGTCGGATCACTAACAACACAGTCTATGGTTAAGTAAATCAAAAATCAAAGTTGTTTGTCATCAAAACTGAACGATGAAAACATGAAATGTACTTAAACACATGAAGAGAGTGGTAATAAATCTTTTTTACGATCCGTTTAAAATTTATAGACCTTGCGACAAAAGGCCTATATAGACCTACTGTGAGCATACTTGCAGTGTGCAAACATCGCGAAATGTTCTCATTAAGCCAGAAATGTGCTCTGAAGTTGACTATTTTGAAAACTTACGTCAGACGCAAGTTATTTGTACGAAGTGCCAGATAACGCAAAATAGTATCCTTATGCCATAGCGCAAATAGTTCCTGGAACGAAAACACTATATTTGTTTCCTGATTGCATATGTAATGTAGATAACGATATATGATTTAAACAATCGCTCCGCTGTGTCCCGGATGTGTAAACATCACTGTGGTGCTACTTTCGTAGGAGTAATTTCGTTTAGATTTTGAGAAGAAATGTTATGAAAGTAGCAATACAAAAGAGTTCTAGTGAATTTTTGCAACATAGACGAGCTCACAGTAGGTCTATATATTATGCATTTAGCTGTGAGGTTAAGCAACTTTAATGTATTGTTGTTACTACCACCCGTGTTGATGTCCACGTCTTGTCGATATACAGGATTGACAGTTCCACTGGTGCTGACAACCTCAGGTGACAAGCTAGGGAAAACAGCAGGCAATGCTGTTTGGCTTGATCCAGATAGAACTTCAGCCTTTGAGTTTTACCAGGTTGGTGTGACAGTCATTCATATGTAATAGCTTCAATTGCTTTTGCACGAAATACTACTGTATGTTACTTACATACTGTAGGTTTGGTTGTAATGTTGATCAAGAGTGTTTTTTTTTCAGTATTTCCTCAGACTTCCTGATTCAGAAATTGAGAAGTATCTAATGCTGTTTACGTTTCTTCCAACAAATGAAGTACAGGATGTCCTCAGAAAACACTGGGTAATTATCTATTGATCTCTGTGATTATATAAAAATCAAGTTGCCATTTTATATCCTAATGTATATTATGCTGATTTTCAATTTTCAATTATGACGTTTGGTTTTAAATCAATACAAACTGTTTCATGAATTTGTATTCTCACAGGAAAAGCCAGAAGGGAGACATGGCCAGAAGACCATTGCCAGAGAAGTGACGAAGCTCGTGCATGGAGGTAACATTGTGATTGATTGCAAGATATCTATACATTTTCTTTGGGATTTTCTTAGAAGATTCTTAGTCATATATAAGCAGATTCATTTTGAGTTCTATATCTATTGCTGCTATAACATTAGGCTTAAGAAAAAAAGACGTTTGTTTCTGCTAACGAGCTGAAACCAATGCATTTTTAGCTCATCTGACATAGTCAGATGCAGCTTGTAGAATCGCTTGTCCGTCCGTCCGTGCGTCCGGTCGTCCGATCGTCCGTCAACAGTTGGGCACAAATCTTAACCGCTCGACGTACGGTCACGATATTCGGGTCGTTGGGGGGGATCGTCAAAACGAGTTGGGATGTCGAAGCTGGGGGGTCAAAGGTCAAAGGTCAAGCAGTGTAAAAGAAGGGGGAACATTCCCTCCTTAACTTAAGGTATAGGGAAAGGAATATCAGAATTGCGGCACAAATCTAAACGGCTCGACCTAGGCTCGTGATAGTCGTGTTGTAAGCATCATGGTAGGAAAAGCCATCCACTGTGCCGAAATTGGAGTCACAGGTCAAAGGTCAGTGGGCACAGGCAGATTTTAGACATTTCTGAGGACATGGTCTGACGGAGCGATTGGAAAACTTTTTTGTTTCAGCGGTGACCTAGCATTTTTATGGCTTTATTGAAAGGACGCATGAAATGTCCCTTCTGCTGACATGCGAAGAGTAAGTGTCGGATAACCTTTTGACCCCTCAAGAGGACGGTTAAACTTGGGATTTGTTGACTGTCTGTTAGAAGAATTTGACTGCCGGGTTTGCTAGTAGAATCTATACATGCCTGGATGTATGAGGCTACAATGTCACAGTGAAATTTCAAAAGCCTAAATTTGGTTAAAGAGTGTATGTTGCCTTAAATCGTATAATTTCTATGTCATTCTGTACTGTCAGTATGTTACATGTAACGTATGCCACTGCCAGTGGCTGCTGCCAGTGCAATGAGTGCATGTGTTGGGGCAGTTTTTGCCTGCGTTAATTGGTTGCAGGTGGCAGCTCTCTATTGCAATTTGCAGCCTGTAGGCTTGCGTAGGTAACATGGATGAGTGCTTACCTATTCTGTCTTGCAAATAGTTGTTGGCTACTACGAATGATGGGAGCTTCCATCTTTAATCTGAAGACACTTAAACGTACGCGCCATCTCGTGCAACTTTCATAACGATCCCAACGAACATTCTTTTGAGAAGGTTCCTGAACCATCCCTGTGCATTCAACTGTTTCGGCGTGTATGTGAACACATTTGGACTAACAGGGTTTACTAGAATCCCTCCACTCCACCACAGAGTCACCGCAGTAGACGTTAGATGAGCGCTGTCGCTATGCGGCACTTGTTTATATTTTTGTTATTTTGTTTGCCGATCACAATAAAAAGTTTCGACACGGGGGTTTAAAATAGACTCGGTCAGGTTAGTGGAAACAAACGTCTTTTTTTAGGCTTAAATAAAATTGCATGTGGAGCAGTGTTTGCAAAGATTCTCTGTGATAAGAATATGTACATCCATAAATGATACAGCCAACATAATAACTAATACGTACGTTAATGTACGTTCTGTACATTGATACATATATTAATATTATGAGGATATATAATATATATATATATATACTCTGTGTTGCGTATAATATCCCTTGTGGTCATACCTCATTAATTGTTAGTCATGACACAAGGCGTAATCACTGTGTGAAGTCTCAAATGAAATGTTTTTTCAGATACTGGTCTATGGTCAGCACTACCGTTGCACTGATGCCTCCTATGGAAATGACGCCAATGCACTTTCAAGCTAACCGATGATGAGTTGGCGCTTTTGTTTCGGTGAGGCGGCCACTGGTCACACTGAGTCTGGACCCAGGAGTCACAGTCCTGGATCTTGCAATGAAAGCGCGTTGTTTCTCCAGGGAAGGTAAGCGCACATCAATTGAAGGTGTTCGGTATACATGGAAAGGGAAACAGAGGGCGAATAGAGAAAGGGGCTAATGAAACAACAAAGTTGAAATTAATACAAATACAAAGCTAATGAAACAACTGTTCCAAGGACAAGAAAGAACGCAACCCATTGGCATTGAAAACGTTGCATTTAGCAGCCCTGATGCTAACGAAATGCTGCCCCCTATTAGTGCGTTAATATGCTGCCGTTATTAGTGCGTAACTCACGTTAAACCAGCTTTTATTTACACCCAAGTTTCAGTTATTTTGCCATCATATAATTATTGAACAGCATTAGTGTATTTGTCCATTCTTAAATCTATATCTGAATTCTGCTGCCCCCCTCTCTCTCTCTCTCTCTCTCTCTGTCTGTCTCTCTCCCCCCTCTCTCTCTCTCTCTTTCTCTTTCTGTGTGTGTGTGTTGTGTGCGTGCGTGCGTGCGTGCGTGCGTGCGTGTGTGTGTCTGTCTCTCTCGCGCGCACTGTCGCACTCTCTGTTCTTCTTTCTCTCTCTCCATCTCTGTCTCGTAGTCTGGTTCTCACGCTCCCTGTCTCCGTCTGACTCTGACTCTGTGTCTTTCTCTGTGTCACACACACAACACTTTCTCTCTTCTCTCTCTCTCTCCTCTGCTCTCTCTCTCTCTCTCTCTCTCCTCTCTCTCGATCTCTCTCTCTCTCTCTGCTCTTTGTGTGTTGTGTGTGTGTCTATTCTCTCGCACTCTGGTCTTCCTATTTCTCAGTAGTTCATTTAACATTTTCCACATGCCTTAACATCAGTTGATGCTAAAAAGGATTATTGTTGCTGGAGGCTTCTACATCAATTATCAATCGAGTGACATCACTCTGAGTTAGTGCCTGATACAAGGACCAGCCCATTCTGCCAAACAACACCGACGACTGGTTGGGCGAGTAGGTTGAGCGACACATTCTTCTGCTTCTGCTAATAGGACAGAGCCCTCGCTGGCACGTACGTTGTCACACCAACACCGAGTGTCGCACTGCCTGGGTTTTTACACCCGCAAGTAGTTCTTCTCTACGTCCCGATTAGCGGAGACTCGGCAGTGATACAAGCCTGAATGAATGTTATTTTTATGTAAGAAGCTCACGTTCATCAGGATATCCTCTCCGTTTCCTTCATCCTAATGTAGACATGCTTTTATTGTACACAGGGAAGAAAATTATTATGTTGTTCGACTGGTGAACATGTGAAGTGTTTCGAATCTTCCGTAAGAGACAGATGTGGTCTGTCAATATGCACGGCAAAAGATCGACTGCACGGGCAAGCTTTCCTGAAGAGCGAATCAACAAAGAACTGCATAACCCTGGCGTTTTCAATAACACTATTCACGCAATAAAATGGAAAAGGCTCTGCTTTTGTTAGTGATGATGTAACTGTAGATGGACTGCAATATATTGATAATTGATGTAGTTCAAGTCAATATCAAGTAACTCAATGGCAACCATCTATTGTCGAATATCACCTGACTATCAACATGCAGTTATTACAGTCAACTCTGTCTGTTATGACTTATACTTGTTATCCAGCTGTCAACGCTTTGCTCAATATCATAAAAGTGTTCTTGATCCGTAATAAAATGTGTTTGAAATCCTGTATTGATATAACGCATTTCTGAGTGTTGTAGAAATACTACTGGCATAGCATTGCATATCTGGAACGGGGAGTAGTAGAAACTCTATTAATAGAAATCTCTCTATTTTGAGCTCGATCAGTGATGCTGCTCTGTGCTACTCACTTCTCAGCATCGTCGAGTGTTGTAAGATGGCCATAATACATTACGAAAGGAGTATTAGAAACCAGTAGTTGAGATCTCTGGTGGCCTTGTGCTGCAATAATTATGCTTATCAAAGCGCATAATTATGTGTCTGTTTGAGGTAGAGATACATAGATGATTGAGAAATTATCAATATATATATATATATATATGGCTTTAAATACGTGATTAAAATGTATTTCCTTGCCTATCCCGTTAACATGTACACAATCTTACAAATTATGGACAAGATATAGTGATTTACACCGACTTGAATATTAGTCAAGTGAATGAGGCGTGTTTCACGGAAGTAGATGGTGGCAGTCGTGGCCGAGTGGTTAAGGCGACTGACTAGAAATCAGTTGGGGTCTCCCCGCACAGGTTCGAATCCTGTCGACTGCGTTATCATTTTGATCAATAACGCAATAATTACGTTCTTTCTAAGTTCAAGATTTTTACATTTTCTTATTGCAACATTTTGTTTGTCACATAATTTATAACGCAAAATATTGTCCTCGTAAGGGCCGAAATAAGGGCCGAAATTTTCTCGTTCCTCAATTATAAATTGGAAAGTACAATGTCTCACCGATACCGCACGATCTACTCTATCTTATCTATGACACAAATTCTAAATGGATCCTCTAACCAGATATACTACGTCGCCCTGTTTAGTGTTAAAACTTTTGTGCGACGTGTTCAAAACTGCAACACAGAACGAACATTTTTACGTTTTGAGAGGTCTAATTTCCCAGAAATATATAGAGTCTACTATATTGTTTCTATGGGTGTAACTAAGAGCTAATAATACTTATTAGCTCTTGGTGTAACCAATCTCTCTTTGAGATTGTTTACCTCTGATAATATATAGTGATAGATTGTGCCTTGCCGTGCCGCGCCTTGTCACAAGCAAAACTAAGTGCATATATAATTATAATGTAGTAATATAGTAGCAGTAATATTGCTGCGTCTATAATCGAACAAATGACAGCTGCATATGCCTCAGTTCACATATAGAGTTACGATAAGAAAAAAACGCGCGCGCGTGTGTGTGTTTAAAAAGCCCCCCCCCCCCGCCGCATATGGTGCGAATTCGGCGTTCACCAAATGCGCACCGCGTGCTAGCTGGTTTACGCATATATAGCAGGAGTAGATAAAGGGATTTATGTAGGTTTAAAGTAGATCCCTTTATCTACTCCTGATATATAGGTTTACGTTAACCTGTATGATACAGGCGGTATGTTTCGCTTCGCTACACTATCTACCGATCGTGACGGTCACTTCCAAGCTTGTATCGCAAAAGCGATCTCAACGTGCACAAGTGTGAAAGCATGCGTGAGTGGTGAGAAGCGAGCGAGGAGAAAAGCTGGTGGAAGGAGGAGGAAGGAGAAGGCTCGGTGGAGAATGAGGAAGGGGAGAAGGGAGAAGGTGGTTGAGAAGGAGGAAGCGGGAGAAAGCAATGGTGAGGAAGGAGGAGGGGAGAAGCTGACGTGGAGAATGAGGAAGGAGAGAAGGGAGAAGCTGTGGAAGAAGGAGGTGGGGAGAAGCTGTGGAGAAGGAGGAAGGGAGAAGGGAGGGCAGGTGGTGGAGAAGGAGGAAGGGAGAAGCTGGTGAGAAGAGTAAGGGGAGAGAAGGGGTGGGTGGAAAAGTCGGCAGGGGAGAAGGAAAGGTGGTGGAGAAGGAGGAGGCGGAGAAAAGCTGTGGAGAAGGAAGGAGGGGAGAAGGAGGAGAGAAAGGAGCTGGTGAGGAGGAAGGGGGAGAAGGGAGCTGGTGGAAGTAAGGAGGGGGAAAGGAGAAGCTCGGTGGCGACGAGGCAGGCGGAGAAAGCTGGTGGAGAAAGAGGCGAGGGGGAGAAGGGAGAAGGTGGTGGAGAAGGAAGAGGGAGAAGCTGGTTGGAAAAAGAGAAGGGGAAAGCGGTGAAGGAGGAAGTGAGAGAAGCGAGGGGGAGAGGGAGCTGGTGGAGGAGGAGAGGGAGAAGCTGGTGGAGAGGAGATGGCGGCAGGTGGCCGCGGTGGCGTCACATTTCACGTTGAGCCGTGGATAGGCGCCTAAGAGTATCCAGTTAGTATAGCTGAGAGGGTCCTCATGTCCCCCGGGGTACTGCCGGAAGCCTACCCTGGTCACGGTGGGGTATACCGGAACGTACCTGGTACTATATACAATATGCCGGACAGCGGTACCTCGCCTACTCCACTATACACGAGTACTAGGTAGTCGCCTACAGACCTAACTACCCGTAACCCGAACCTCATCTATCCTAACCCTAACCCTAGATCCTAACCCTAAACGCATATCAAATAGGTGACCAGGGTACGTCCGGCAGTACTCTGGGGGACATAGACCCTAATGAGCGTTAGTATAGTAGCAGCATCAGTGGTCCAACTACACACAATGCCGTCTAAACAGGGAATTGCTCGACCTGTTGATTGGAAGATTAAAAAGTAGACCCCCCACTCTTTGGAAGATAAATAATGAATTCCGGACGTCTTCGTATTCACTGGTCATTAAGCCGCGCGTCGCATATTCTGCTAATTAATTAGACTAATCGCGCTTGCAAAAGACTCAAATTCACAGACGAGATTAAGGCTACAGACATGTGCCGATACTAATAGCTAGAATTTATAGAAAGAATGTAACATCAACTGCCTTCGCGTCCACCTATGATGGTTAGTCACAAAAAACCAAACCTGCAATGGCAGCGCCCACCTTCCACCACACTCACCAGCGGATGAACGAGTAAGATATAACGAGTAGATATACTCAGTAGAATTGAAGCAGAGCGCGAGGCGCCATCTGTCGTGGAGTTGGGTTAGTACAACGTTCCTACCCCACTACCCCGATCCTTATACCCCCACTCCACCACATCCACTTCACTCCATATATAGTATAATATCCACCTCATCGATGATACTCACCCCTACTATCCTCATACTCATATCAATTTATCATATCATATCATTCATATACTCATGATATACTATATACATATAATATCATATCATATTCATAATCAATAATCATAAATCATGATCATATACCTGCATATATCAATATATATTCAAAATATATTATTCATAGAGATCAGTGGTTTAGACGCCATGTACCGCGGTAAGCATCCGCGTCACATGTACCCACCATTGTTGTTCCAGCTGCTGCGCACAAACCCTTCGATCGGCGTGTCCGAGGAGTTTAGCCCACGAGAGTAAATC